CTTTTATATAATACTATCCAAATAGGGTTGCCAACTAAAATATGTGATTAAACAAAATTTTAAGAAAATTTTTTACATATAGGGTTGCCAGGTATTAAATAAGGTTTTTAAAGTTCAGTTGTTAAAATTAAAAAAAAATATTATTGACTAAAAAAAATAATATTAAGGAAAAGTATATTTTCGATGGATTTTAAGTAGACAAAAATCGCTATAATGCAGTAGAATGGTGCAGAAAAACTTAGGAGACATTATCCAATAAAATACTTAATGGGGAATCCAACAAATAAAAATAATTATTTCAAGACCAGAATCGTTGCATGATTGAAAATTAAAGTAAGGAAAATTTTGAATGTAAACGCGCTTTTTTCAAAACTTTAGTTAACAGAAAAAGCTTTTTTTTCAAGAAGCCACTTTTGGGCTCTAGCACACATAGAGAATTCAGACCAAACGCTTAAAAAAGTAAGGTTATAAATGTCATCGTCTAATGTGAATACGATTTTTATATGGACACAATCGGGCAACAACCACGCTTAGCTCACTCATAATGGTCTCTCTAGTTTCCACCTTGACTCAAGGCGCTGATCTAAAGAACTTAACCAAACTTTGTAGGTGTGCTGGTTTCAATGAGGATTGAAATTCTATCAAAAAGAGCTGGTATTGCTGCCTAGATATGGTCCCACCTCCCCTGTAATAGATTTTCAATTTCGGACCGATCTTTTGGCCAAATTATCGAATGGATATGATAGTTACAGGGTGTTCGAAAAATTTGCTAAAGGAGTACGACCATCACTTCACAAACAAGCTAACGTCCTTATAACTGGACTTTACCGATTCCGTGAGTGTCAGTAAGCCTCTTGAGGTTTGTTTAACATAAATATCCTCCGAGTTTAGTGCTCCCTGGTCTTCTTTTTTTTATGTAATACAATTTTAGTATATAGGATTTTTCAATACTTATATATATAGACGGTTCGCCGATTTTCTCAAGGTTTTAATAATTTTTTTTTTAATTTTTTTATTTCTCTTTTAAAAACTAGCAAACTTAAAGATACTTTAAAACACACAGTTTTTATTGGAAGAATTTTAGCTTTATGTAGGCAACGAAAAATATATTGAAAGCAACAGAGATTGAGATTTCATTCGTCAGGTACAACATTGGATCAGAATTTAATGAGATTCGAGCGCAATAAGTTAGATTTCGTAATTAATAAGAAATTGATACGCCAGGTGGCGCTAGAGTCAGCAATTAAAGATGACCGTTTATTATAAACACATTTAATGAACTCAGAGGGAAAGTCATTGTAACACCGACCACGTCTCAAAGCTTTATATAAAAAAATAATAAAAATAAAATAGGTGTTATTTTGGACCTAAAAATCTTCTACAATATGTACTGGAAAGAATGTACACTCGCTAAGGAAATTGCAGCCTGTAGCTAGTTAGGTATAAAAATCAAGTTCATTTAACCGAAAGTCTATTAACCCGTGCCCACTTGAAGTACTTGCACACTTGACTGTGAAAATCTGCAAATCCTGGGCAAATATTTAAGCAACGTACACATTGTTCGGCGTTTCTGTTTCTGGTTTTTCTTTTCGCTTTTAATACTAAGCTAATGTAAACACAGTTTTACCTATGAATACAAAAGCGAGAATAACCCAGTAGAAAATAAGTAAACGGCATGAAACTGGTGACTGCCCTATCAGCTCAATCTGACTGGTTAAAGTTGGTTTCAAAAAAAAATTTAGAAAAAAATAGAAAATAAATGAATAAACCGGGTTTTTGCTAATAACAAGCGAGACTAAGGTAAGGGTAAAGGTATGTGACACTTGCTCTCAAGGTAAAGTTTCACATTACTACAGGCATTCCGTAATCCTCATTGTAAGATTTACATCTCTGCATCTGCGTTTCTTATATGAGGTACATTCGCCACTAAGTTTCTTACTAAGCACCAACCATCTGCGATAGATAACATAATTTCAAGGATGATTTCTCCAGTAATGGTCTAAAAATTCTCACAATACAATTTATTCATTGTAGATAAAATTTTGTGCCATAACTTTTTGCTATTTTGAGGGTTATATCGTTATATCTCCCTCATAACCCTTGTCTCCATTGGAAAATAACTGGAGCGTTGAATTTTCACAAGCGTTTCTTGAGCCTAATTCATCACCAGTCCAATCATTGGGCATGAACAGCAGGTAATCACTTTGTGCGACGTCCGGACTATTAGGTGGATGCCTACAAACTTCCCAAATAAACTCCCGGCGCTACTGGTGGTACAATATAGATGTGTGTAGTCTGGCTTTTAAGCAATTGCTTCCTTCCGACGACCTAACTTCTGAGGGTATAGGTCCGGCTTAAGAGTTTGGCCATAGTTATTTTGCAGATGGAAGTTAAAAAAAACATCGTCCTTTCAGAGGTGGTTTAGTATAAATCGGAAGGACCTCTTGGAGAAAACATCAAGACGCAAAACCACAAGGAAGAGGAGCTCGGCCGAAAATCGCTTAAGCGGTTACAAAGCGCCAATAATATTAGGGATAGTAGAAAGAGATCCACTCTTTGTCCAATAGCTGGCGTTATTTATTTATATCTCGCGTTGTATAAGTCCGATCGGATTCTTCTAGATCGCGTTCGAAAGATGACAGTTTTGCGATTGGTGGCTTTGTTTGAGCGTACGTCAAAGGTGAACACAAGCAAAGAGAAAATTTGCATTTCTTCGATGAAGGAGAGAACGCAAGTCAGGCGGCTGGAGATGTGAATAGCGTTTTGGCCCAGATACTCTAGCAGTTAATCATACACAATTTCGGTTTCATTCCGGTAATTTTTATGTAGAAGATGCTTCACGTATTGGAAAGCCAATTCCCAAAAATTTCGATAAAATCATGGACTTTGTCGAGTCCGACTGTTTCGATTGTCCAAGAGCTACAGATTGCTCAAAAAACTATTTGTAACCATTTGAATAAGGCAGAGTTACAAAAAGAAAAAAAATGGAACATTCAATTTCGTTACGTTATTTTCGTCACGTTTCCAAAATATTTGCTAAGATCTTAAAAAAAAGCGCACAAATGTAGGCCACGTTTTTAATACTTATTTTAATATCAGTCTATCATTCAAGAAATATTACTACTAGCATTTAGGAGTTTTACTAATCTCAGTGAAATCGAAACATTATTGCAATTTTTTTTTTTTTGCATAGGTAAGTTCCTGGTCCACAATCACTTCCATACAAATAAAAATAAAATTGCATATACCTGGAGAAACAGCATCTAAATTTAGTGCTAATATGCTTGTAGACTATGTGCCACGTTTCTGAGTAAACACCTTGCCACCCATCACCGAAATACTCTTTGAACTCGCTCACTCACTCGCTCACTCACCCACTCGCTTAGCACCCCCTGCTTCTCTATCAACCATGTGTTGGTCATTCGTGAAGTCACGATGAATGAAAATCGCATGTCAACAAAGGCCAAATCCATCCTTGAGTGTGCAAATACACACATTCACATATAGTTAAGTATGTGCGTGAGGAGTATTTCAGAGGGTGCACACGTTGTGCTGAGTGTTGAGCTGGCAATTAAATATTCTAGTCATATGCAAAAATACTTAGCATGCAATTAGGGGCGGTCAAGTAAACATTAGCAAATTATATGCTAACATGACGTTTGCGTAGTGATGTCTTCCATCATTCACAAACACACACACACACACACACAGCAATACACGGAAATATGGGTACTCGGTGTTAACGATGCTCGCACATATGTTCATACATAGTTGCCAGCAAGGCTAAGTGCTCATACTTCTGGCAGTTGGTTGGTCGGTTGGTTGCTTGCTTGATAGCTGCTAACCGAAATACTGTTTCTATTTAATATTACTGTAATTGTGTATGTCTGTATGCGCATGTTTATATGTCCGCACTTGCTTCGCAGCGTTGCAGTGATGAGTTGGCAGCATAAATATGCAATTATATGCATTTATGTATGAGCAAATGTATATGCTTAAATGACTGTGGCGACTCACATACCTTGCATGCTTGTGCTTGGACTCTTAACAAGTTCAACAGTTGCAACAACTACAACAATTAAAATGAGGCATGCACCATGGGCATCGCAAAATCCTTTCATGTTACTGCTTTTATTTCCTTTTGAATACGCTATATTATTTTTTTATTGTCTCTTTTTGTTGTTGTTGCAACTAAATGTTGTTGCCTTGCATTTTGCGCATATTTCGCCAGCAGGAAAAACGGCAACAACACCAACAATAATATCAGGGAAGCAAGCATTTCGAGTATAAATTTTGTGTCTAATGAAAAAGAGCTATTTTTCATTGCATACTTGCAGGCGTTGTTGCTAGTTACTCACTCGTACTTCACTAGGGGAACTAGTTGAGGTCATGTTTTTACTTTGGTTTAACATTATTAGTGCATTTACTCTTTGACTTTTAAACAAATAATGGAATGGGTGAGGCTAAAAGGCAAAGTCTAGTCTAGTGACCAATGCCAGCAGGAGTAGCGGAGAGGTGAAACAATGATATTATTAACAATATCAAAATGGAATATATTGTTTTGTGCAGCACATTTTGAGAAAGAAATAATGTAAAATATGTAAAACTCGTGCGCTCTTGTCCGCCTCAGCATGTTCGAATTGCAATTCGGTTGCGTTGCGAGTGCTGCTGAAATACGAAATGAAATTTTAAAGCATACTTTTGGGAAATATGTAGCTGTTGCATACTTTTGGGCAGCATTTCGTGCACTTTTTATTTAATTAAGATAGACATGGTATTGCGGTTAAATTTGTTTCTTTTCTTTTTTTTTTTTGTAAAACTACCAAGCCATGACCAACCACCACCGGTTCTTACATATTGTAGAGCACTGACCGACACGCTTGAATGGCGTAGCAAATTGAGTAAATTTTTTCTGTATTTCTTTTTAGTTTAATTGTTTTTCTTTTATTTATTTTTATTTTTTATAAATACTTTACATTTCCTTTCCAGCTATCTTTCATGTCATCACCTACTTCCTGCGTCCCACTGGCGTTGGTCGGAATGGCTTACGCCTCGATTTGGAATCTACAATAAGCACTGATTGGCGCTTCAGGTATTGACGTGTGGGCACTTCACTCTCCTCATCGGGTGCGGCAGCTGTACGGGTGAGTTAAAAGAGATGAAAAAAGAAAAAATAAAATCATTACATTCACATATAAAATTAATTGGAAAATTGTGCTAATGAAAAAAAACTGTGTTTTCATTTTTATATTCTGTGGCCTACCTGCCGCTGGTGCTTGTTCGGGCGAAGAAGAGGATGTGCCAGCAGCGCGTTGTGCACGCCCGGCGAGCAGATTATAGTAGCAAAGCGGCATCGGTTGGGGTTTCTCCCCCTCGGTGATGGTGGGTGATTTGGGCGGTTCCGTGGTGGGTGCATAGAGTTCGTCGCTCTTTTTGAAGAATGAGAATTGACGGTCGAAATTGAAGTTACTAGATTTTTCAAAAATTGCTGACATTTCATGTTTAACTCACCTCAAGCTCCAATTTGGGTACTTCAGGTGTGCCAGCATCTGCAGGTTTAGTCAATTCTTGGCAGCGTTGGAGTTTGAATTTCAAAATCTTTAAGATAAAGAATTAAGCTTAGATAATGAACAGAATATAATATGAAGTTATGGAAAGAAATTTCATTTTAGGTGTGCGTCATTGCTTAAAATGAAAGTCGAGCCTAAATATAGGCAACGTTTATGATTTCTTCGCAAGTTGAAAAATCATAGCCTACATTTTGGCGTGCAAAAATTGATTTGAAAAAACTGAAAGCGAGCTCTAAAAACAAAATCACCCTGGCTTTGTATTAAAAATTAAATATAAATATATTTCAAAAAAAAAAAAAACCTTAAATATGTTTAATGGAAAATCTGCTGCTGCTGTACTCACCTCTATGAAATCGTCATCTTGTGCCTCATTTGCCAAAAACTTGGGTAAATTTTCTACATGTATATACATGCCTTTTGCTTTCAAATTGATGTGGCTTTCATCTACTTCCTGTAGCTTATAGATCATTTCACATAAATGCTCTTTAATAAACTCCAAAACAGACAAAGTGTGCGCCGAAGCTTCAGCGCTCTTTTGACGTTCCAATTCCAACTCGCTAATTTTCAATTTAATTTGCTCGATGACCTCTTGATTGCTAAAAAATATTTAAAAATGTTTAGAAATTAAAATTGCTCTCACAAAATGTTCTCTCTCAAACACTCTCTTTCCATCTCTCCCTTTCTTTCTCTCTCCCTCCTTTCTCCAACACTTACACTTCACTCTCCTTGCCATCGGAAAACTTCATTGCTTCCAATTCGAGTGTAAGTTGCTCTCTTTGCGCTTCCAGCAGACCCTTCTCTTTCTCTGCCGCATTGCGTAGATAAGAGAGGCGGGACGCAGATTCTTTTTGCGAACAAAACCGATCGTAAACTTCAGCGGGTGTGGTGGCACCACTGACCTCCATGAGATGTTTGAAGAGATTCTCCATTTCGGCAGTTAAATTTTGAAGTTGTGTCGCCTCGTCTACTTCGGTCTCAGTTTTGGCGGTCAGTTGATCGCCAGAGCTCGAACCGAGACTGTCTTGATGCACCAGAGTTTTGTTTTCAACAAAAAGTTTGCGTCCTATGCGTTCCAGCTCCATTTTGCGTGCCTCTACCTGCTTGCGGAAATCGAGCGCTTGGCGTTCACGCGTCTTTTGAGAGAGATGCGCTTGTTGCTCTTGACGTTGGAGTATGGTCTTGGCGGCGTCACGCATTTCGATGGCCTCGTTGTGTACTTGCTGGGGAAAGAAGAAGAGTTGGTTATAATGCTAAAATACGATTAACGATGATGTGCTCGTGACACACTGCGCACCTCCAATCTATCAATCTCCGCCTGCTGTTCCGCAAGCGCTGCTTCCAGCTCACGCAAGCTGCGCTCAAAACGTTCAGCATCATTCATGAGCGATGCTTCAATCGAGCGATACTTCTTACGTATATGCTCCGCTTCCATCCACTGGACGTTTGTGCGATGTATCTCATTCTCCAGCTGGCATACTAGCTGTGAGTCATTAAAATAATAAGAAAAAAATCTTCGAAAATTTGCAAAACATCTTCAGCTCCCATCACAAACCTTTCTATTCGCATCCTCCTCCAAAGTCTCGGGCGGCTTCTCACCCATATTCTGTGCCTGCGCAGTCTTCGCCGCGTTCAGTCCCCGATACTGTTGCACCAATTTAGCCAAGCGCTCTTTGCGACATCTAAAGCGGTGTCGCAGCAAATCCAATTGTTTTCGTTGTTCGGTGAGCTTTAAATCGGTCAAAAAGATGGCGTCATCTGCGCTACGTGCACCAATGGGATAACTCATCTTGCCCACCGCAATTGCGGTGGTGGTGGCACTGTTCGCCTTCTTGCGTACTTCCTGCTGCGCCGCGGCCGGTTCCTCTTTGATGACAACAGCGCGTTGCAGGGGGTTTCGCAGTTGGCCACATTTCGCTGTCAACTCTTTGATTTCCTTTTTCAACGTTGTGATAGTTTCACGATTTATGCGATTTTGCTTTTGCCATTCGGCCGCGTTGGCTGTCTTTTGACCCTCTGAAATTTGGGTTTGAGTGTGAGCCTTTTCACTTGCTTAATTCTTTCACTACACTCACCTGCTAAGAGTATGCGCTTCTTCAATTCAGCGATTTTCGCATTTATTTCACCAATTTTATCCACTTCGGATGTCGGGCGTAATGGCATTTTTTACACATCCGCGACTCCATATGGTCAAAGTGAAAATCAAGGCAATCAATGTTGAAGATTGTTGATTTGCTTTCCCTTGGTAACGTGGCGAGCTTTGTTGTAGCAACGCTTGCATTGAATGTGGCGCAATGTAGAGGAGTTTCTGCTCGTATATTTCAGGGTTACCCGGTTTACACGACACACGTATGTATCTATATATTTTTACCAAGCCTTTGCCAGATTTTAAGCAAGCTAGTCGGTGTTTTGTTGTTGAGATTGAGATTCAATTTCCCTCTAAGGAGGTAGTAGGTGACTATATTGAAGAACCTTTGGTCACGAGTGCCAGAGCAACCTCCAAATCTTTTATTTTTTATAAGGAACTCGGCCATCATACAGGCCATAAGATATATAATCTCTTTCTTTCCTGTCTCGGCTAAGTTTGTCTTGACTGTTAGCAGAACGGATTTTATGCCCACCTTGAAGAAATCTCTCTGTAAATGAGATCTATTCACCGAACCAATTCGCCGTTTTTTCGAAAATCAGCTACTTGGTCGTACCTTACATGATAAGTTCGTCTTTCCTGCAGTTTCCCCTTAAGCTGTGTGATTAGGGAATCTTGCCAATTAATGGTCTTTTCTGTTTAGCCATCACTGTAAGAAACTTGCAAGGGTCCAATACAATTTTAGAGTTCATTACAGCAATCGAGCCTTTAATTGCTGTCTAGTTCTACATCCACATCAGCTTAAAGCTCACTACAATGACACGACAGCTTCAACAAAAGCTCCAACGAACTGTTTCGAGAGAAATACCCGAATCAGTTGTTTTATTATCATTCTTCCGGCGGTAGTGTCAAAACTCCTTGCACCTTATCTCTTACCGGGCAGCAGTGTCGAACAGTCGAAACGGGTATATGAAGGAGGGATCATAAGTTTCTAAAAGTCTTCGGTGCTCTGGTGATTGAAATTTTATTAATATGTGTTCTCTCTAGGGAAGAGCAGTCATCATTGATAGCTGACATGAGGCCAAGCGTTAGTGTTTTTGTCGATCCGTAGAGCACCTTGTATCTCTAGCAAAATCTTTACCTCGTAGACCCCCATATCCGACTTATCAAATTTTGTCAACTTCCACACGTCCACATTATGCAGCTGAAAGAGAATGTTGAGCGACTAGCATTGCTTGGTGTTTGTTTGTCGAGAGAGGACTTACTTACTGTCATTGGTGATGTGGAAGCGTTAAGCAATATTTCTTCTACTCCTCGCTTACTATTAGAACCATCCACATAGCTTCCTTAACCAATTTTGTGAAATGAGATCTATTAGAATACCGCAGCAGTTCTACGCTCTTATAATAGAAGACTCCACCTTTAGAGTTAGTGTATGTCGTTCATTTTCTCATGGGTCTCAGCTAGAACTTGACGCGTCTGAAGCCACACTGCACTCTCTATAATAAGTCCATATGTCACATTATTTGCTTATTTTACAATAACTTATGGATTAAGGAGAACGCTTTCAGCTTTCATTCGTTCATATTCTGCCAAGAATCTGATCTGCTTGAATAGCTCAGTAGGTAAGGCATCGATTGCCACCGCTTTATTATTTGTGTGTGAGCAATCGCTACACGAACTTCATCATAGTCTGCTGTTGGAAAGTCTGTACCACCGCCATCGAATATGGTTTCGGATTAACTATCTTCGTAGTCTTCATTTTCACTGCAGTTAAGCAAGCTGGAGAAGTATTCTATCTAATATCAGACCAACTTTTTGATTTTTACAGTAAGAAATTTCGGTTTCAAACCCTTCTGAAATTCGCTCATACTTCCCCACCATCTTCTCAAGTCCTCTCTTTCTTTGCTTGCAAACTCGTCTTGTTGCTCTCCTCAAATCTTTGCCTTACTGTTCGCTTTGTGGTCGATTGCAACGTGCTCTCTCTCTTTCTGCTGCTGCCCGATTATACTAAAATATGTTCGACTAAGTATTTTTTTTATATTAAGGAAACGATTCTCTGAAAAGTATAAAATTTTAGTTAACAAAATAGACCGTTAAAAATTGATTACAATTAAATTATTTTTCCGGTATCACGGAAAATTTTCATCCGCTTAGCGTATTTGGCGACGTGAAGCGAATTTTAATAACCCTTAAGTATTAGTTTATTGCATTAAATTCTCATTTTGCACACGAAAGCGATATGCCAATATAATGACCGTAAGGTCCTTGCGCAATTATCCACCTTTTACTGGCCTGGCGCTTGCCAATAATTAGCCCGTAAGAAGATTTGTTACTTCACCTACCTAAAACCATACATATACATACATACATACAAACATTCACTTGAAAGTCATAAATATTCCAAGTGTTGTTGAAGGTATCTAAATTTGACACGGATTTAAAGAATTTTACAGCGCCAAAGGAGCAGCAAGCGAACGAAAGAATCGAAGCAGTGGTCCGGCAGTAGTAAATAGAAGAGAGTTTTTGTTATTGTAATAGAAAAGAGACACTTAACAGGCCATTAAGCTTAGCTTGCCACCAATGGCGTGCTTAAGAAGTGAAATTAAAATGGTACTATAATTTCTAGTTCCAACCAACCGGCAGAGAGGCAGTCAGAGAGTCGGGGGGACGGAGAGAGAGGCAGTTAGATACTACGTGATAATTATAGGTGGCGCTAACGTTGGTAGTTTAAATACTGTTTACAACGCTTGCTTTGCATGAGTGTGTGTATGTGTGTATAGCATTGGCGAAGGCTCGTTTGATGACCAAAACAATGTCCTGCAGGAGTAATGGCAGCGAAATGGCTGAAAATCGCTTAACACTTATTTCCGTTTAACCTCTCATTTTCGCACTCCACTTCTTTTACTTCTTCCTCGCGAACACTTTTCATATTTAAATTTTTCTTAATGTCGAAATTTATACCCAATAAACATGTGGCTTTGAGTTAGTCTTCGGAATAAGTTGAAAGTAGTATTAAAAATCTCAAATGTGCTTGCCTAATAGTAACTCAGCTGCGAAAGTCCTTGGAGCAGTATGTCAGCAATAATGCGCAGAATATTCGCTTCCAAGGAGGCAATAGAGCGACCTCACTTAACCCACCAAAAAAAGTAGTGAACACCGCTATTCAATGCATGATTCCCCAGGCCACACTACGGAGCAAGACGCGCGATAAGCGCTCATCGAAAGTTTTCTTCAATTAATTGGTCCTATCGTTGGCTGAATGGCATTATTATCCACGAATATGTCATTAATCATGGCTCTGTGGCATTCCCAATTGCCTGTAGCAATATGACCGACTTCAATTGCGGAGTCATATAGACCTCCTACCCGCGGACTACACAAAACAGTGACTTTTTGAGGATGTATCGGCATCTCGGCAATGAATACTGGATAGTCACCAATGCAAATTTGCCAATTTTCCTTATAAACTCAACCACTCAATCAAAAGTGGGCTTCCTTGCTGAACAAAACTTTTCTTCTGAAAATGGGAGTAGGACACTAACTTGTTTTGGACATCATAGTCACTCGGTTTCAATCCTGTCACGAGTTGCATTTTTTAAGCTCGCAAAACAACATCCATTTTAAAAAGTCTTCCATAAAGTGGATGAAGGCAACGCCAATTGTTGCGCCCGATGGCGGACTATCTCATATGGAACTTCTTCAACAATTATCTCCACAGCTGCGAAAACGTCTTCAGTGCACACTTTGTACAGTATAAATTTCACCATTTAAGACGTTCCCTTGGCGGATTTATGAGCCGAAGCCTCACATCTGAACAAATCGGTTGTGAGGAGGTTATATGAGCACCAAGTTTGGTTGATATATTAAGAGAACTGAGACTCCAGTTTTTCATACAAACAGACAGACAGACGAATATGGCTAAAGAACTCAGCTCGTCGCTCTGAACTTATCAAGTCCATATCTTCTCCTTTTAGTTCATGAAAAGTATAAAAAAATTCAAAAATATGGTACTTGTTTGAAAAGATTCTTTGATATCAATTTGAGAACTGTAATGCTACACAATTTGAGCATGATCAAGTTCTCAACCTCTCCTTAGAATATCTTTACATACGAAAGCTTAATATTGAGTTGATAATGACAAATTTCTCAACTGACAACGAACCACATTCTCTTTCAGAAGCCCTGATGCTCATTGGGCTTGCATTTCTTATGCTCCTGAGCACTACTCGAACGAGAGACAAACATACTGTTGTAGCGTAAATTAAAACGGTATTTTACACGCATTTCTTCGTCACTTCCAAACTCTTTAGTTTAGTCTTTTTTCGCTTCCTCTTCTATTGTCTTTTATTTATTAAGCTGCCGTGAATTTTATTTGCAATTACAAATGGCCATTAAAAGGCGCTCAGCGCTACAGTTCAACAACGTAAAGCAGTGTCTACTCACTTTGTTGTGTTAACGAGAGCTGAAAGCGCGGTAGCAGGAGTGGGAGGTGGGGGAGGCGACAGCTACTGCTAGTAACTTAAGCAAACAAAAGGGTTGAGTGCCACGCGGTGCCTCCATTGAACGCATGCAGCGCGTAAAGCGGATTGTGTGCATGGGGCGAATAAAAGATGGGTGATGGATGAAAGGTGGGGAATGGGGAATAGGGATGAAAGCGTGTTCGTAAGCGCCAAGGTAAACACTACAAACGGAAGTGCGATTTAAGTGGCACATTTTAATTAAAACAGATTGACGACTTGAGTTGAAATGGTCACAATTCTTGTTTTCCATCAAGTTCCTACCATTTTTGTTGTTGTGTTGCTGATTGCTAGCACTTTGAATAAACCTTTGCCGCAAAGCGCTCAGGCCTTTAAATCGTTGTTAGCGGCTTGCGGCTGTGTGTAAAGTGTTAAAGTGTTGTCTTAAAAGCGAAAGTGTTGTGGAAAGCTTACGGTTTTTGGTGCAACGAAAGTGAAAGCTGGGCTAAGCTGCAAATGTGTTCGTCAAAGAGCTTTCAATTTTAGTTATCGATTGAAATAGTTTTTTTTCTTTTTTGTTGTGAAATTAATTTCCCTGGAATATTTTTCTTAACCCA